TGGAGTGGCAACGTTTCTCAACCAATACTGATTCATTATTATGCAAGAATGAGAAAACTGGCAACTGTAAACTACAGAGAGGAATCGGAAAAGAAGCTGAAACATATCTTGATGCAAAGCCTCTGGCCCGACTTGGACTGGGACCAGAAGAGGGACTATTTCTTTCCAGCTCACCTCCCATGAAACCTGCCCCATAAACCAGCGACTGAAAACTAGCAGGTCCCAGAGGAAGCGACTTGGCTTGTAAACATCATGTGTAAGCTTCCAGTTCACATTTACAACTATGAGGCTCCGAGGTCCAGCTCGGCCTCATAGGTGGTGTCATTAATGAGCAGGCTCATACGAGAACTAGCAACACGTGTTCTGATAGGGGGAACTATCAAATATGCTCACAGCCACATGTCCGGCATCAGCGATGCTCAAATTGCAACGGATCCACATGATGACGCTGAGGGTTTGATATCCACGCTAAAAGCAACGCAATAAAAATTACAGATATATATCGGAAAAGAGATTGTGGACAGACACTGACACAAATCCAACCTTGGATGCACAAGGAAGCCAAGCGAACACCATGTCTTTGAGCCAAGGTATTGCTCAACACAAGTGAGCTCTATTAAGTCGAGCATGTGTCTTCAATCAACCCTGCCTCCTTACACTGAGTACACCGTTTAATGAAACTCCAACCTCCTCCCACTCTCACACTCAAACACACACCAATACTGCAACCTCTACAGAAAGAGAGCCAGCCCGGGATGAATAAACGGGATCCGGTCCATGTTATGATCTAAAAGGAGAGGACGTATTGCAGCTATTTGAATTTCTACAATGGAAAGTTTAGTGGATAATAAATCAGATTAAGCTGGTAATTAAAATAAACTGGATGGAAATGGCAGCGGCAGTAACCACAAGTAACATTTGCAGGAGTAGTAAATGCTTACATGTTGTCCAACAGTAGCATGAGTAAAGTCTGCTTTACAGTCAAAACCTTAGCCAAGAAAAGCTAGTGTTAATATCAACTAAGCAAAGTTGTACAGTAGCACAACTCCAGAGTGTTGATAAGAGTGTTTTGGTGTTAATGTATTTAACTTTTTATTTGTAAGATGGACATGGGTTATTTATATGTCATCTCATTCCAGAAATCTCTGTCGGTCTGCGGCTCGCATATTTCCAGAACTGCTTCACATAAGACGTAGAATATTTTGAAACAGCAATGACAACTGATTCAAAACCAATAATTAACAGTTCTATGTACTGAATAAAGATTCACTGAACTTTGAATAAACAGGTGAACAGCTTTTTGTTCAACAATGGTGGCGTGGCGTCAGGGTTCTGTGGACTGAGCCCTGCAGCCGATCTTTATTTGCTGTGGCTCAATTACAGCATGTTTACTTTTGCAGCTTCAGAGAGAAAGCTGCAAACGGCATGATTTGAACGCGTGCTGCACTAATTAAACGTTACATGCTGCTGCTTTGAAAACTAAATTATGGGAACAAAGTGATGGACCACACCATTTAAGGATTGTTTTGAGATTGCAGCTCACCTGTCTTCTCAGAGCTGTTGTCCGTTAGCATCTGAAGGTCTCTGGCTATGTTTGCGATGTGGTTCTGGAGGTCCAGGCAAGATCCCCTCACTCCTCCGATATCTCGGGTATGAGCTCTGACTGTGCTGTTCAGCTGGTTGACACAGGTCCACAACGCAGTGACGTGTTTATTCAGCCCCTCTTTTATTCTCTGGAGGCTAGCAGAGATCGGATCCAGCTTGCCGCATAAATCCTCCACGTTAACTATGCGGCTGTCCATGTGGGCAATGTCCTTACCAACGTCTTCAGATTTTTCCCTGCACTCTTTGGCCTCGGCTTTCACCTCCCTGCTCAGCCCATCCAGCCGCTCTTTGAGCTCCTGATGCTGTGTTCTGTGGAGCTCTGAAAGGTCCTTGAGCTCCTGTTCAGCTCCTGTTTTAACTTGACCCCAGGTGGAGTTGAGGGACTTTGAGGTCAGAGACTGCTGATGGACTACATCAGATAAGGAGTCCTCCAATATGCCCATGCGGCTTCTCATGGAGCTCAGCTCGTTGTGTGCATTCTGAATGTTAGTGCTGTAGTTGAGGAGTTGTCCCTCAATGACTCCAAGGCCATTTAACTTGACGTTAAGGCTCGTCCCCATAGAATCGAGGGCAGTTTTGCAGCCCTGGAAATCTTGCTGAAGGTTTTCTGCAACAGCTAAATTAGCCTTGTGCTCATTGGACTGCAACTGATCCAAGATGTTGAGTCTGTCCTCCAGAGTCTGAACAGAGCCCTTCAGAGTGTTCATGTCCCTCTGCTGTGTGTCCTGACTCACTGGCTGAAACCCAGATGGGGAGTTGGTGCTTATATCTACCAACAGTGTGGTGAGTTTATCTTCCATAGAGGCCAGCTTGTCTTCCAGAGTCCCCCTCAAGTCTTTAATGGCCTCTGCCCGCTCTTTCTTCAGCTTTTCCTCCACCGAGAGGCACTGCTCTGTCACAGGGTTTTGGGAGGAGTTCAGATGGAGCTCAAGGTTTTCTACACGAGCGGGAACAGAGTCAGATACACGAGTGTCGTCTTTTTCTGGATACTCCAGCTTGGTTTTAAGGTCCTGGATCTCCTGTCGAAGGTCAGTTTCCTTTGAGTCCATGAGTTCAGCCAGGCTGAGGTAATTGGCCTCTGTTCCCTCACATTGCTCCTGAACTGACATGATTTTATAATCACAAGCATTTTTCAAATCTGCAAGTTTGATATCCAGGCCTTCCATCAACTCCTCTCTCAGAGCGTGGATCTTCTCATCCAGGTAGGCACGCAGGTCTGGATCACTGGCTGGGAGAGCAGGTGGAAGTGAAGACAATGGACTCTGAGCTGCTTCCATCAGCAGACGGATCTGTCCATCTTGACGGTTGACACGACTCAGCAGGTCATCCAGGGTATCGGTCTTAGACTCTAGATCGTCTGTGACCTGGCTGATTTTGCTCATAACTTCGTCCATTGGCGTTAAGAAAGAGAAGTCCTGCACCTGGATGGTTTGGGGTTCCGCGCCTCGTGCATCTGCAGGCTGTCTGAAGTTTTCCAGCAGCGTGATGAGTTTTTTACTAGCGTCCTCCTGGAGATCCAGCCTGTGATTGGAGGTCAAGTCTGGTATTCTTGTCTGCATGTTAAGGACCATCTGGAACAGTCGCTGAGCTTCCTCATCCTCCAGGTGTTGTGCACTTTGAGATCCTCCGTGACCCCCGAGTGGTCTCTGACCTGTCTGACCTCTAAACTGCCCCTCCCCTACCCATGGATGATTTCTCTGGCTGTCTGCTGGCTGCTGTTCCGGAGCTAGAGGGAGAAATCACAGAGTGTTAGGAGACAGCAATATGGATAATTTCGTATTTTAATTTGTGCGATGGTGAATTTCGTGCTACATTTTCTCATTCATAATCATGTATTTCACCTTGTGGGACTGGAATATGTCCAGTGGATGGTGCATGAGGCAAATTCTCCACTTGAAATATCCTGAAGTCTTTCACCTCCATGCAGTCATGGCCCTGGTACCCCGGGCAGCACCTCCACTCCAGCTCTGTGACAGTCTTGTATGCAATCTTATATGTGGGCCTGAAGTGCGTCCGGTATCTGGAAGCATTTAAATAAAAAAAAAGAATGCACTCTGGTTTCTACAAATGTAATCTTGGAACAACAAAGTAGTAAATTCTGTTTGTCAATGACTGAGTCTCAACAAACAGAATCACATTTGCAGTAAATTAACCGTGCAGTTGGCAGGAAGCTGTTTCAGACTTTCCACCGTGAGGACACTGGTGGCTCACATGACTCCTGCCATCCAGTGATTGAGTACATGTCAGTGTTTGTTGCTCAATGCACATTCCAGCAAAACAAAGACAACCCATGTTTGCCATTCATGAAAATTCAACACAGATGCCTGAATATTCTGCTTTTTAAGTAAAAGACTCTTTTAAGACTAAATCTCTTTCATATTTCTTCAGATTAAAAGACATTCGTTCCATGTTCATGCGTAAACCCCAATGTTAATGGTCGATCAAAACATCACTGATGTTTTTTGGACCCAAAATGTTTGATAGTAGCAGCAGTATTTTCTTACACTGTTTAATAACACTAAGGAATATCCACCCAGAGTGCATGACTCCAGGGAACTTACATCATTTGTTGCGCACAGTCTGGCAGCTCCGGAGGACACGGGAAAAGCTCCGGCTGCACGAAGCTCTCCGTGCCTCCCACGACGGCACAGCTCACGTTCTTATGCACAACGTAGGCGCACCAGTTTCTGCAGAAAATCACACAGTTATTGTATTCAGACATTAATACAAAGTAGAACTGGAGCTCACTGATGAATCAACACACTGCATTGTATCCACATGCAAACGTGACACAAAGTGTGTAGAAATCCAGTTTGCTCACTTGTTCCTCTGTCGTGCGTCTGTGCCAGAATACGCGTTGCTCTGGAACCTGCCGTGTTGGAGAGGTGTTCCAGTGATAAATGGAATTAAAATGAGAATAAGTGTAAATCCACAGAGTCCGTTCGTCATGGTTGAAATATTGAAAAACCTCCTCAGGTTGAGATCAGTAGTAGTGAAAGTCTGCAGGATCGGTGAAGCACCACGGCTTCTTCCTTCTCTCTCTGGTGCGCACAAGCTCCTCCAGCGTCTTTGGATGTGACGTTACGCAGACCCCCACCAACACTGACAGACGTTTTCCGTGTTCTCACATCACACATACACTCAAACACAGAGATCTAATGGCGTTCCAGGATCAGAAAAACCAAGATCATCCACCTACATTATTTCCGGACGCCTACTTTTGGATAATGATGGTCTTTGTTCCCAAAAAACACCGCAATTATCCCGTGCGTAAAATGCGTGCCCAGATTTTATATTTACAATGTGCGTTTCAGCTTAGTAATTATAGAGCAGAAATAAGGAAACAAAGAAAGAGAGAGCTTCGTAAATAAAAACTTTTATTATAATGAAGGTGTTCTCCAGTTACACATTGTGCTTTAGTAAATATTTACCCATGACCAGTTTTGCTCTCATACAAAAAAAAGACAAGTTAGTACATTTAAAAACAGCAACTTCACCAACCCCAAAATTCAAAAAGATGATAATAACAAAGGATATATTTCAATTATTATAAAAAATGTGTCAGGCTGGATTAATCCATCCGAGTCTTCATTTTGCTCTTTTTGTGATGATGTCAAGAGGCCCGGCAGCGTCCTCCAGAACCCGCTTCAGTGGTCGCATGGTTGTAGAGTCTAGAATATGAAACAAAGAGCAATGAGAAATCATCATTAACAGCAAAAATCCTGTAATTTATTCTGCCTTTTCCCCCAGGTAGACAAACATACTAAGTTGTCTTTCAATCTCCTCCAGCTGCTTCTCTTTCCTCTCCTTATCTTGTTGCTTTTGCATCACGGGAGGAGACTTCATCATGTTCGAGTGGTCGTCATGATCCTTTTCTGCCTTCTTTTGCTTCTCCACAGCTGCCCGGTACTGATGGAGCATGTCTATCAGTTAAAGAAATAAAAACAGAAAAGAGAACTTTAAAAATGTCCAGATCCAATTTTCTGGACTTTTCGGGAAGTTCACCTCTGAAAATGACTCATGAGAGATGTCACCTATTTGTTCTTGTAGAGTGTAGAAATGCTGTGGGAGGGGCGCTCCGAACACTTTTAATGAGGTTATTGGTGGAGCTTTGTTCTGTGTGCCTCCGAACTTGCCCACAGCACTGATCCTGTCCCCCTGCTTGGTCAGAATGGTTGGACACCGGATCCTGTTCTGCACCACCTGAAAGCAAAGACACATTTGAAAAGGATCAACAACCAGCGGCCGGTTCTATTCTGCCGCTGCTCTGTCTTTGAGCTTCACTCACCTTCAGCCTGTATTGGTTTGCAGAATCCAGGTCGTCGATCAGAATCGTCTCACCGAGGAAGATTGCAAACACTGAAAAGTGAGCGAAAACTTAATTAAAACCCTTAGATTTTCAACTTGTTTACAGGAGGTAGTGGGGAAGTTATTTACAGTCTCGGATTTACTCTTTATACAACAAGAAATATGTACATTCACTGAAATCTGAAAAAAAGATAATAATACAGGTTCCCCTGTAAACAAGTGAGACAAAGAATAATTCTTACATTAAACAAGGAATAATACAACATCTGAGTGAATTGGCAGAACCCACTTTTATCTACTAAAAAGAAAATCATCACGACATAAAAAAAATATAATTTTAATGTGGTGAAAGAGGCCCAGTTTCTGCTCCAGTGAAAGGGCCCCTAACGAGGGACCCCTCAAACCCCATAACACTGGACCCCAGGTGGAAACATTTACCCAAAGCTCAACAGGAGCAGCGGGGGCATGAAGGAAATACCCCAACAACAGCAAAGAGACGTGGGAAGCCTTGAATAGAAACCATGTACTCTTTTAATGAGTCTGCTCTGAAAAAAGAAAAAACGTTAGTTATGTTTCACTGAGCAGCAGAAATCTAAGACAGAAAACTCACCGGTGGCACAGCTCTCCTTGTCCTTTGGGTAAATCAGGAGGTCTCTGGCAAACACCGGGTTCCCAGGGGCCTCAAAGAGCTCGTGGCCGTTTTTTATGTGTGGCAGTGGTCTGCAGGAAATTCAGATTTGAAAAGATTACAGCAGAGACGACTTTGCAGGATGTATGAAGGCATTATGACTGGGCTTTTAAATACCGTGAGAAGAAGAAGAGAAAGATTTCAAGATAAAAAGAAAGTTTTGCACATTCATTTTGATGATAACCATTAGTTATGGCAGCCCAACTAAAGTATTGTAGTGTAAAGAACTTCTTTATCTTGAAGCAAATCAGTGAAAGCAGGAATTCACTGTAGGTGTGTGCGTGTGTTGCTTAGTTACAGAAGGTGCTGCACAAGATCTTTAAATTACTGTTTTAGAAGCCTCACGTTGGACTCTAATCACACACACACACACACACACACACACACACACACACACACACACACACACACACACACACACACACACNCACACACACACACACACACACACACACACACACACACACACACACACGGAAGCTACTCAAGACACCAACAACAAAACTCAAATGACTGATGAAGGTGTTGGGACTTGATGAAAACACACAAATGCAAATTTAAATTGCTGCAAACTGAACCTTTCAGTGTCTTTTCAACGACATTCAACTTTATTTATTGAGAAAATAATTTGAAAGAGGTTTACCTGTTCATTTGTGGCAGGTTCGCGCTGTCGAGGGGCATGACCTGCTGCCTGCCCTGAGTGTCGTCATAGATCCTCCGAGCTGCCGCTGTCGTCCTGGTGATGACGCAGTCCATGTCACCCCTGATCTGCCAGGAGATGACTCTGGCTGCCGCGTCGTCCTCCACGTATGCCAAGTGACCAACCTGCATTCAAGAAGCAAAGTGTACAAATGATAAAACAAACTATAGCCTCTACACACTTGCTATGTTTTTGTAATGATAGAAAAGTACAAACACTACCATTCCCAAAACATCCTGCTGGCCCCTGAAGTCATCACTAATGGAGCAGACTCTTCTGGCCGCAGAGCGAAGTCCCTCTGCTTCCGTTCTCTTCTCTCTCAGGAGTCTGTCAATAGCAGGAATCTGCAAAATATTTAAACATATAGAAATATCATCTCAGGATAAACGTATGTAGAAAGATCAGATTGTGGGTGGAACGGACATCTTACAGATTCTGTTACTGTTATGTTCTTCTTGTTCAGAATGAATCTCAGGCTGGCCACTTTGTTTTTCGCAGTCTGGTGTTGTTCTGGTTTCAGAAGAAGATTCCAATTAGAGACAAAAATGATGACGCGCGATACAGACAGGTGACGTGCATGTGCACAATCGTGGTGTATTTAAACCATGGACTGTAAATAAAGATGGACTTCGTGTCTTCACTTGCTCCCGTTGTACCATCTATATATACAGTCTTTGATTCAAAACAAACTGAGGAAGTAGGAATCGAACCTGTGAGCAGACTAAGGAGTTCAGAGTAACCATCGAAAAGTTTATTATGGGCTGAAATAGCAGACTTGAGAGAATCCTTCTTCTTCAGCAGGTCACACACTCTCTGTTGGTTCACTGCTTCTGCAATAAAAAAACAAGAAGAAAAAGGTTCAATGAAGCAAATTGGAAATTGTTTTATTTGTCCAGACTTTAGATATTTGTCTCCAACATTCCAGTACAATAATGGGACCTCAAAAACTGAAGGTGACTGAGTAAATAAACACAACATTTGTTGAGTCAGCGTCAGTTTGTTTTTATTTCATACCGTCGTAAAAATGGAAGGTGAGCTCAAATGGAGCGAGGGCCGTGGGAACCTTTGGCACGTCCGGTTGAAAGCGGAGGGTGTATGCCCTGCCGTTCTCTCCTGGGCTGTTCTCCATGATAGCCAACCTCTGTGGACAGTAAGAGCACAGTGAGACCCTGAAAATGCCAAAATAATCTCGTCATAGGATTAACGGTTTAACCTTGTTTTCCAAACACCAAGAAGACAAAAGCTTGGATGGGCAGTCGAGGAACTCGCCGACACGTTGCAGACCATGACTAGACTTCTTCAGGCTAAGTATCTAACAGTTAATCAGAGCGCATGTCTGGTCGAAAGTGGTGACAGTAAAAATGGTTTCAGGTGCTCCCTGATTTTTTACGCTGCACATATCTAATCTAGGAAAATAAGCAACAACCATGTGAGAGAGAGACACGAACTCAGTGCAGATAACATTAATTGCTTCAAGTGCCTGTCAGCTTGATGTGCCAGGGCCTGGTCACACACACATGAATGTGAATATCAAATTCTCCAAAGTTAAACTGCTCGAGAAGCCACGCTGTTCCTCGCCACAGGAAGCGAACGTGTTCTCTGCCTCCTCGCTCGCACAGATTGGAAGTGAACAGGAGGCGAAGGTTTGCCACCGATATATTTGAGTTGGGCTTTGCAGTTCACAGTTGCAGTTCACTCACAGTGATGTGGACCTGTCCCTCCACCAGGTTAATTGCATATCTTTTGAGTCTGCCTTCAAACAGAGGAGTGGGTTTTTGTCCATCACCACTACAGTTGATTATAGAAACGATCACTTGGCCGCCCAGGTCCTTCCCTGCTGGGTTTCCGTAGGAGTCCTGAGAAACATTGAGGCAACATTTTAGTGGTTTATCATCTGGTTCATGTCGTCTGACTGAAATCCTTAGAATCTTCTTTTTTTACCATTATCCTCAGAGTCATATTCTGCAGCAGTGTTCGGTTTGTAATGTCCGTGCAGCAGGAAACAGCTGGAGCTGGAGGCTGGGATTCGGGCGCCAGTTTGACGGGCTGATTGGCCACCACGTTTATAGAGATCTACGACACAGAGCTGAGGTCAGTCTCCTCTCTCAGGGATTATGGATGATAGACAAACTCTCCCAGCATGCTTTGTGTGTTCGAAAAAGTTTCAGGAAGAAACAGATTTTAGGTTCAACCGACCTGATCGCTGAGCAGGAAGTTTGTTTTGTCGATGAGCAGAGAGAACTGGATGGTGTGCTGTCCAGCAGATTCTGGGATTGGTTTGTCTCTGCAGTTAAACACAAATACACATAGGTCAATCATTTATTTTATCGAGCAAACGCTGCAGAAAAGATGTTATTATAATATATTATATTTTACATTTAAAAAATTGTTTATGGGTTAAAGTTTAACCCTGAAACAGAAGATTTTTAGATTAGATTCTTACCTGAAGTGAAAACAGTCTTTCCTTTCATTCTCCATGGGTTTACTACACTTCAGCTCAGTGGGCTACAGAGGAAAAGTACAAGATTTCAACAAATTTTAGTTGATAGAAAATAAAGAACGGTCTCAGTCCCCGAGTATGTTAGGAAATCACTGACTGTCTTTGTAGGTCTTTGGTTTGAGGCTTCTCCCTCCCACAGCAACATGGTCACATTAGCTGGGTTAAGAGTCGTCATTGGGCTTCCTTCATCAGACACCACAGTCACTGAGAACACTGGAGACACACACACACACACACACACACACACACACACACACA